ATGCGTGGTAGGTGCAATTGACGCACTTTACTAGTGTGAACGGGCCATTTTTTTTTAAGGTCAACTCAGTCTACCTACCTTACAAGAACTGGAGTAGATCCTCAACCTGGGGTCCAGTGTGGACTGCTGTGCTGTGACGGAGCTCCATCCATATGTGCATTGCTTGTACAGCTCCCTTGCGCGTCCTGTAGAGGTTCCAGGAGCCAGTATGTGATGTCATTCCGGTCCAGGCACCTCTATAGGACACGTGAGGGAGCTGTAAGCAATGCTCGTATGGATGGAATTTCCTTGCGGTCATACCCCATCCCACCTCAAGCTGACACTCGGCACAGGGCAGCTTATTTTGAATGGCTGCTTGGCACGAGAACTGACATTGCTGTGCTAGGGGGAGGCTGAGGAGCCTCTCACCTAGAAAAGTGGAAGGCATGCGGCAACCCACTGAACACTGGGTTGCGACCCACCAGTTGAGAACCAAAGATCTAAGGTCTAAAATCATATACAGGTGAAACTCGAATAATTAGAATATCGTGCAAAAGTAATGGCAGTAAGTGCTGCAAAAGGGGCCCAAACCAAGTACTGAGTACATATGCATGCTTGTACTTTTCAGAGGTCCGATATTGTTCTATGTACAATCCTTTGTTTTATTGATTGCATGTAATAATCTACTTTTTTGAGGTTGTGGATTTGGGGTTCTTGGGGTTTTCATGAGCTGTAAGCCATAATCATCACAATTATGACAAATCACGGCTTGAATTATCTTGCTTTGCATGTAATGAGTCTATCTCATATATTAGTTTCACCTTTTAAGTTGCATTAGTGAAATAAATGAACTTTGCACGATATTCTAATTATTCGAGTTTCACCTGTAGATATACTCACCCGATCCTCAAGTCTAAAGTCTTATGGGCCATTTTGTTTGCTGTACTTGTGGAAATGTTTGTGCTAATGTTTCTACGCTAACACCACAAATGCACTCTATTGGAGCCGACTACTTCCCAGTAACAAAGCGTGCTAGGTAACTCATAGTGCCTTGCATCCTTTGTTCCTTTGGTGGCTTGAGCCTCCACGCATTGTCTTTGGCTAGGACACAGGAAGCTCAGAAGGCCTAGCATCCCTCAGTTTCTAGGATGGAAGTGGCTTGAGCCACCTATCATCTTTTGTTGCTAGAATGTAGACCGCTCAAGCGGCCTAGCATCCTTTACTGCTAGGATGCAGGCAGTATCAGCCCCTTAGTGTCCTTTGTTGCTAGAATGTAGGCAGCTAGTAGCCTCCTAGTGTCCTTTGTCGCTAGGATGCAGATGGCTTGAGCCGCCTGCATCCTAGCAACAAAGGATGATAGGTGCCTTGGTCACCTAGGACCCTTTGCCAGGATGCAGGCAGCTTAAGCTGCCTAGCATCCTTTATTGCTAGGATGCAGGTGGTGCCTTGTTGCCTAGCTTCCTTGATGGCTAGGATGCATGCAGCTCAAGCCCCCTAGTGTACTTGCAACCTATAGAGCACCTGTATGCTTCTACACATTGCACAAAGGTTACATGTGTACAGCTATCATAGCACTTCTTACACAGGATCCTGCTGCTAGCTATAAACAATTACAGTTTGCATTTCATTTTTCATTTGAATGAAAATGTGTTTTGACTGGATGGTCTAGTAATTTACTCTAGCACACTGGTGAATTCTCTTCTAGATAAAGTTTTAGATTTAAAATGTTTTCTGTTCACAGTGCTTAGTTTTCTGTATGTTTTTCCTTAAGTAAAATTGCAGTTGACAGGCAATAAAAGGAGAGCCAATGCAAATTTCATATCTCTGTCCCAGTCTTGTTTGTTGCTGGCTTCCCCCATATTTGGTTGTCTGTTTTGATTAGTATAAACTGTTCCTCTGCTTTATCTCATCACCTTTTCTTTAAAGTATAATTTGTTTAGTTTATACTGATAGAAGATGAATGCAAGATTTGGATGTTTTTTCGCTACAGCCTTCGAGTCAAATATATAAATGTGTGCTGTGTAGTGTTTTGTTGCTACTGTCAGTGTACTATATGGTATATAGGTGAAAGCTGTAACTTTTTCCACAGTATATGCAAACTAAACATTATTACAGGGATTCTTGGTTCTCATATACTGCACACAGGGCCAGATTTCCCACAAAGCCACTGAGGCCCGGCAACAGGGAATAGAGAGGTGGCACGGCCGCCGGGCGGGCAGTTTTTTCTACGTTTAGCCCTGCTTCGGGCAAGCAGGGCTAAATGTACAGCTGCTCGTTTTGTACAAGTAATGTCGGAGATGTCGCCGCGATAACTTGTATACAGTCTGCACTTCCGTCCTCACCTCACCTGGCTACCTCTGTACCCGCTGGCCGCCTCCCTCCTTGTCGTGGTTTTTGGGGGCCCCCGGCACTCACTTTAGGATGGAGAGTGGGAAGCAGAGCGGAGAACCTCTGTTCTCTGCTCTGCTCCGTGTAAACAGTGGGAGGGGAGAGCTGCTCTTGCAGCCTTTCCCTCTCAGCTGTCACAGGAGTTCCAGCACAGTACAGTGCTGTGCTAGAACTCCTGTATTGGAGGTGACCGGTTCAATAAAGAGAACCTGTCATCTCTAAATGCTATCACACAGGGGCTTGTTAGCTCCTGTGTGATGGCAATAAAGTTAAGTGGATGAAAATAAATAAATAATTAAAAAATAAGAAATAACTATAAGTAAACATTTTAAAATGTAAAAGTGCTGAAAAAGTAAAAAAAACAAAAATGAAAAAATTAAAAGATAATAAAAAAAGGCCTTGGGGCAGCTTAGAGAGTAAATCCAGCCCTGACTGCACATGCTCATCCTGGCAGAGTGCATCAAAGTGATCCCTCTCTGGCCAGTCCCCACTGTACCATGTACAATGCTAAGTAGCAAAATGCACATAGTATACTTTAATTGAGATATAGTGCCAATATGGGGTATACTGACACAGTTGGAGGCAGAGGTACAGAACCTGGTCTGGTCATCTCTTCTCGGGTGGCATCTTGCTAAGAGCAGCAAAAGACAGTCACCTATTGCATCCTGCTGTTGTGTGTATTACGGGAAAAGTGAGAGTGAAGCAACTTTTTTTTAATCTGATATGTACAATGGGTAGCAGAAATATTGCTTCAAAAACAGCTGAGACTTTGAATGCTGGGGGTTAAGGGTTTAACTGACCATACACTAATAATTTTTTTCAGCCTGCGGGGCTGAACGAGGAAAACCGCTCAATTCCACCATCCATGATTATCTGGCTGTTCAGCTGAGAATTTTCAGGCCAGCATCTCCTACAAAAGTTGATTGAAAAATTTAGTTGTCGAATGTACCGTTACCAGTGGGGCCACCCGTCACACACTGCTCGTACGTCAGCCGTATCAGCAGGACTTTGCCACAATTCAGCCAGTGTAAAGAAGAACTCCGGGCAAATAAAATCTTAACCCGTGCAGCAGGGCTACCTGTACACTGCAAGGGTTAAGTGCTTGTTTTGTCTTGGGAGCTAAAATAACAGAGATACTCACCTGAATCTCGTTCCCGGCTGGCTACTGGACCGGTCCCTGCCACCTTGTTCCCCCTCTGTTCTAGTGGTCTAGCAGCCAGCTGAGTGCAAGGTTTGGGTAAGTATCTCTATGTTGTTTTATTTCCCTAGACAAAATGAGCACTTAACCCTTGCAGTATGGGGGTGGCCCCACTGCAAGGGTTAAGATTATTTCTGCCTGGAGCTCTTCTTTAACACTAACTTGATTTATCAGCAAAGATGGAAGAGACAACTTGTTTAGTGTAGTGGGTGCACATGCAGCACATTTCAATGAAGGTGCCTCCTTTAGAAACATGTTTTCCCCAAATGTTTGGTATATCATTCTCTGTAGTGTTTCACCATAGCCTAGGCATGTAAATATTACCCAAAAACAAATTAATTTGACTTCAAAATATGTACTCTTTGTAAGCAACCTTGATTAGACTGCTAAGGTTATTGATGTATCTGCTCAGATGATACTGCTATGTACTAGGATGAGAGGTTTGCTTTATTGTAAGGACATTGTGGTTTGTTTATTAAGACTCCCATCTCACATAGGGGTTTGTAGACAGTGGAATTGGAAATCTATCTTCCAGCAGACTAGGTGTTGGTAACACAGAAGGAAATGTCTGTGTACAGGGATAACTTAGAGACTCTGGGGTAGAGTGGCTAGATTTCTTATGCCTTGGATTTATAAGGCTGTAAATGGACAGTGTGCGAAGTGCATATTAAAAGGATGTCAACAGTGGAGCTGTCCTGTGTATTCAGTATTCTAGGAGCAAGATTTATGAGATAACAAAGCTTATCTACATGCAAAGCACATCTAAGGCTGCACTCTGCCTGGGATATAAACATTACACACAAAGCACTATGTATATTATCTAAGGGCTAGTCATTTCTTATTTGGAGTGCCCTGGGAGTCCCTTAATCCAAAGTGTTTTCTTAGGCATTTGCTGACCTCCTGCTAGGATGCTGACACCTTAGTCCATCACCTTCTGTGCCCTGTACTTAAACCTTTTTACTGTCTATAACATGGTAGTAACCAGTAGCAAGGTGCAGCAAGTAGGATGGGATGGGGGTTGGCGTATTATTACTCATAATAGAGTAATCCTAATTTATTCTTTCCAAGGGTGATGAGGAGGAGAATTGACTGCAAACAGGCAATTCTAGTATTTTTAAATACTCAGGACCAGTAAAACCAGGCTTTTCACTGGATTGTAGTAACTTAGAGGTATAAAACGGCATAGAGATATTTTTAAATACTCAACTTGTATAAAATCAAATGAGTTTTGGAGTGGAATTTAAATTTAACTATATTAGTAGTGATATTATTGTAATTGTTTATGTGTTCTGAACTGAAATTCATGGATTTCATTGCTTTATTGTTTAATGACTAATTGATTTTCATGTATTCACTGTTTTTTAGAGTGAAAGTGATGCTGTTATACTATAAATTGGCATGTTTGAAATAAATGGTTTATTATTTGCATTCACAGTTTGAGCGCCAGGATCCAGTGGATGGTCACATCACTGAGCGTCAGTTTGGCAGTATGCTTCTGGCATACAGTGGAGTGCAATCCAAGAAACTCATTCAAATGTTAAAACAACTGAAAAAACGCTTTAAGGATGGAGAGGTGAGTGATAAGGAGATTATACACAGCAGCTGTAAAGATAGAATACTGATATTGTTAAATTCTGATTAAAACAGAAAGTTAAGGACCACAGTTAGTGATATCCGTGCTATAAAATGTAACACACAGTGAAAATTTAAATATTTGGATGTATTTTAGTACATACACAGTTTATATTTAGCATCACATTTGCATTACAAATGCAACCATAAATAGTTTAACTGATGCCTTCAGGGGCTAGTTGCAGGCTCTATCGCATTAAGGCCAATTGGAAGAGCATCAAATTCATCAAGCACTGCAAAGCATTTAACAGCAATCTTAAAAGCTTAGGAAGTACCTACACTTCAGTTCCAGATTGGGAGTACTTGATTCAGATTTTAACGGCAGGGCTGGCCATAGGTTTAAAACAAGTGAAATTTAGTTTAGACTAGGAATGCACTGACATCGGTTTTGCGGTATCGAGTACTGAAAACGTATCTTTCGGTACTCGCCGATATCGAGTACAATTACCAGTACTTCTGCTAGCATGGTGCCGGCTTCTTGATTGCGGGGGAAGCAGGCTCCATGTTGTTTGGCCAGGAAGCTGCTTCCCAGCCAATCAGCATCGAGCCGGCTTCCCGGTCAATCAGGAAGCTGGGCGGCGAGTCATTATTCGCCACCCAGCTTCCCGATTGGCCAGGAAGCCGACTTCATGTTCCCTCACGGCACTGCCAGTCATAGGAAATCCCCCTCTGACCCGAGGGTTCTGTATCGGGGTAAGTATCGGAGCATACGTTTGATAGATAGTATCAGTGCATCCCTAGTTTAGACTATTATTCATGTTTTACCTTAACTTGAATTATGCAAAAATAGAGAATACATGCTGTAGGACCTTTTAGTATAGGATAAGGTAAACAATGCCTATAAGTTCTAGGGACATAATAAATTAAACAAATATCAACAATTTAGATTTGTTTTGAAAATGGCAAAATATTAGCAGGTTGACAATCTGTGGATAGGGCTTTCAATTGAAGTAACTATATTCTGCTTTAAAAAAACAAAATCGTATTCAGTTACCAGAAACCTCTAAGCAGAAAGTACAAGTCTGTGGTGTGCAGACTTATATTTTTAGTTGGGTTATTCTTTACAACTGCTTTTTTTCTGTAAGATAAACCACATAGATTTTTAGAAATGTTTTCTTTATAGGAATGAGATGGGAGAAAAAAAATTAATTACATTCTTGTAAGTCCTAGTACTTGAATATATTTCTTTGAACAGTATTAACAGAGACAAACCCAGCACGTTTTTAAAGCCTGGGGTCAGACAAGCTAGCGACTCTTGTACTATTTATGTACAACGATAGACACTTTTATGTAAGCTTGTGCTTGTTTTGCTCTAGTACTGTCTAGAGGCTTTAGGCTTTCTTTTATGAGACAAATAGAGTCCTGGAATTCCATTTAAACTACTCTATTAGCCTTTTCATTCAGTTTTTGCCAATTTATCCTGAGCCAGTAGCTGTGCAGCACACCATACCAATCACTCTTTATATATGTATAAAGCTGAGATCTCTAGCTATGCATCTAATGTTTGTGTTTCAACCATTTTTAAATATAAAATTATGAAACAAATCATGTAAAAGGCATGTCTTCAGGGAAGGCTATCCCTCCTCTACCCAACTGCCCAACTATTTCTTTCTCGAACAACTCATTCCCAGACAGCTACCACCTTTTATAGGCATTCGAGTCATTATCTATGCCAGAACAAGCCCTCTTATGGTTGAGCAGTTTACAAGTACTGAAAAAAGGACCAAAATGCTTGGAAATACTGGTATGGGAAAAAAGAACATTGGACAAAGTACAATAAAGTGCAA